ATTTAAAAAAATTATTTCTTAGAAGCATCTGAACATGTGCAGTCCACCTCCTCAAGTAATACTTCATTGAAGAAAGTATTTGGTATGTAATTTAGTTTTGCGTCTCTTTTACATTGTAAGGTAATTTTTTTAAATTAATTATATGCATTGTTTTAGTAGATAATATGGACATGTCAACTAATGAAGAAAAAGAAATGGAAGAGGATGAGATAGAAGAGACGTCATTGACGGAAAATAAAGAAAGTAAGGAAATTTGACAATATGGATTGTAATTTTTTAAAAATGTTATTACTTTACATTGTAATGTTTGGTTTACATTGCAGATTTCAGATGGTCTCATGCGGCAATTATGCTGTTATTGGAAGAATACAGACTGCGAGAATCTTCCATGTCTTCTGGAAAAATGAGTCATAAGAAAGCATGGGATAAAATTGCGCGAGTAATGAATGTTAAAGGATATGATGTCTCGGGTAAACAATGCATGACAAGGATTAATACAATGAAGCGAACATATAAAACGGTCAAAGATCATAACGGAAGATCTGGTAACAATAAGCGCACTTGGAAATATTACGACGTAAGTATTACTTGATTTATTACAATAAATATTAACTTTTGCTTTACCTAACTATTACGCACATACGCTTTTATTACTCTTAATGCAATATTGGCTGTTTAGGCCATGGAAAGTCTTCTTGGCCGAAAACCATATATGGAACCGTTGACAACCATTTCGTCAAGTGGATCTGTAACATCGAGGCCTGAAAGGCCGGACTCTCGAGGTAGTAGCAGCAGTAGTGTCTCTACCTGTGAATCCGGTGAAGCTCCTCGTAAGAGACTATTACTCATTGAAAATTGAATATTGAATTAATGTTGATTTATAGGCCGTAACCGTTGATTTAATCTGTAAGCCCTAAAAAATTTTCTAATCAGTCGATTATTCTCCTCACATTAGACTGTGATTGGTCAATTTCTTAGAGCTTACAGTTTAATTAATGGTTACAGCTTTTATAAATCAGCCTTTAGACATTACAGTGAAATAAAAAAATTTTTTACTTTTAGGTAAACGTAAAGCCACTGATCAACCAGCCATCATACAAACGCTAATAGAAAAGCGCCAAAAAGCTGAGGAAGAAAAAGCAAAGAGACACAAAGAAAGGATGGAAATGGGAAACAAAATGTTGGCAAAACTGGATAAACTTCTAGAGAAGAAGTAAATACCTCAATGTTACAGAACCAGTTGCACAGTTTGGAAAAGTGCAATTACATAGTACAAAAGTTTGGTTATTATTTGGAATATTAATATATATTCTATTATATATTATTTTATATTACACGCACGTTTATTTTATTATTAATATATTCTCTCTTGCGTTATATTGAGCAAAGTGTAAGTGGTAACTATAATTTCATTTATTAACATTAAATAATATATAAAGTAGGTATATAAGATGGGTATATAGAAGATTACAAGATTAAAAGATAAAAGATGGAGAGATAATGATTAAACCAAAGATTACATTATAATTTTTTAAGGTTTTTAGTTTGTATACAATAAATATTAACCGATTGCATAGTAAATTGTAGTTTTTTATTTCAAATAAATGAATATGTACCAATTATACATTTCTTAGTCGTAATCTCTGAGCTATTAGATCTCGCTTTGCAGCACCTGCATAAGCAGCATCACGCATATTTTCATTATTGGCCATCACACAATCTATCACATCTACATCCTCAGTCACTTCTATATTAAAATCATCATTTTTCATTAGACACACATTATGTAAAACACAACAGGCAAGAATATGCAGTGGAATTAAGTCTACTCTATCCATTGCAAGTGTTGTAAGAAGACTTCGAAAACGTCCCTTTAATAGTCCGAAAGCTCTTTCAATAGCAATTCTCGCAGAAGCATGACAAAAGTTATAATTTTGTTGACGTTGTGTCATATGGTCATTGTCTCGATACGGTATTAGCAAATTTTCATGCAATTTATAGGTTAGATCTCCAACTAAGTGACAATCTTGTGGAAACTTTGACACATTTCCAAGATAGGATTGTACTTCCGACAGACGAAACACTCGTTGATCATGTACCGACCCCACATGTCCAACATAACAGTGGATAAATTGGCAAGTGTGGTCACAAATAGCCTGCAACAAAAGACATACAAACCAATATAGATTACATAAAATTGGCATGAAAAGAATTAACATTGGAATTCCCGCTAAAATTATTGAAGTAGAAAATATTACCTGAAGTTGGATTGAGTGATGACTTTTGCGATTGACATATGCTGCTGGATCATCTTTAGGAGCTGGAATATTGATGTGCGTGCCATCAATAGCACCAATGACTTTAGGGAATCCACTATTAGCTTCAAATCCTGCCCACACTTGACCAACTCGTTCATTTGTAGGCCATTTAATTACAGTAGGTGCCAGCTCAATAAGTGCATTTATAACACGTCTTGTTATATATAATGCAGTACTTCTACCGACATTAAATCGATCGGAAATCGACCTGAAGATTAAAACAAAAATATATAACAGTTGTTTTCTAGTTAAGGCTCCTAGGGTTTCGCCGCCGTCATGTGAGATCATGACGTCAAAGGCGGAAATGACACGCTGAGAATTCTTGCGTGCCATTTCCAAATAAAATAACATACTTCAAATTACTTCAGCACACTTTAAAAATACTCCGAGAACTATCCCTTTCTCTTCATGTAATAAATGTAATACGAAACCGTGCGCCGGCGCATAAGCACTCATATTACATTCATTTTATGACTGTTTTTTAACTGTCAATGGAAAGGGATAGTTCTCGGGAGTATTTTTGGTATGTGCTGAAGTGATCTGAAGTATTATGTTATCTTCTTATTTGGAAATGGCACGCAAGAATTTTCAGCGTGTTATTTCTCGTCCCTGACGTCACGATCTCACATGATGACAGCGAGAGCCCAGGAGTCTTAATGACACAAATCAACATAAGCATCTCTGTTTATGTTGCCAACATGTCAAACAAAGGAAGATTGATGCTTGTGTTGACTGATATCACTGACCATGTTCAACAAAACTGTGAACTTATTCATTACCTTAAAGAATCTGGAGTAGCTAATCGCCACAACGCCAACAAACACTGTTTGCGTGGAGAAATCATAGGTGCTCCCTCTGTTTTCTCTCTTAGTATAATAGACAGAAGATACTCGAAGGTTCCAGGAAGCATCCTAAATCATGTATTAGTTATTGTTTATCAGTTAGATATTGCATTCTGTATTCAAATCTGTACTAAACTGTTTACCATAGACTTTTTGATAGAGAAATATTTTTATCGGCGGATCGGCGATCAACGATCGCGAGAACCGTGCCGATCGACCGTCTCGCGGAGAAGAGTATGAAGAGACGAGGAAACCGATGACCGAAAAGCGATGTGGGACTTCAGACTCCACCTGTTACCTAAACGCAAACGCAAACACCAATAATGCCAACGCTACGCTAGTGCCGTTCATGGAGCTCGCTATCGCTATCGCGCTATTGGCTCCATGAACAGTTTTGGTAGCGTTTGCGTTTATAGCGTTAATAGCGTTTTTCCGAACGCACCCCTTGTGGATCGTGGTGCGAGGAATCGCACCTGGCGCCCAATATTTCGAGGAACTTAGTCGAGCTACCATCTGGGTTTCTGCGAGTCTTGTCGCGATTGATTTTTCGTAAGATAATTAGTGAACAAAGC